AAATTTGATGCTTGTCAACTTATATAAGCTTAATACTTCTAAGGACGCATGGCACAGTGGATAAAGGCGTTGGTTAAATCAAGTGACAGGACCCAAAGTGTGTGAGTTCAATAAGGTGGTGGAGAACTTGGAGAAGGGAATTAACAGGAGATAACTGATAATTGAGATCCATTAAACATGGCACGTGAAACTAGAACAGTCTACCCCAGTGAGCGAAATAAAGGGTTCAGTTCGACATTACAACCACCTGAAGAAGGCCTGAGTGTACAACGGCCGAAACTTTGTAATGAATATGGCGTCAAAGATGAGGACAATATTCCGAATAATGTAAACAGTGTACATAATAATTCATCTCAGAAATATAGACCAATACTGAAGAAGGCCTGAGCGCACAACGGCCGAAACGCTGTGATAAATATAGCGACAAAGATGAGGACAATAGTCCGAATAATGTAAACAGTGTACATAATAACTCATGTCAGAAATATAGACAGATACTGTAGAAGGCCGGAGCGTACAACGGCCGAAACGTTGTGATAAATATGGCGACCAAGATGAGGACAATAGTCCGAATGATGTAAATAGTGTACATAATACCTCATCTCAGAAATATAGACAAACACCTTGATGATTTGATACGTCTTGTTTCTGCAGGGTTCAATCTGTGGCGTCCTGAGATCACATATCACAACGTGGAAGGAAGGTTGTGGATTGAACGACCAAGTTTGGGACCAGAGCAACAGCGTGACGGGTTATAGTGGTCTAATGTTTAGCAACCTTATCTCGCAATAAAAGCTACGACTTCGTAGTAAGTTCGTTCCTGACTGGGTGCCCCATACTTTCGGCCTGGTGTCACGTCTAAACTCCGCTTAGAAATCCGACGTGTGCACCTCGACGTGGTGTAATGATTAGCAATCTCATCTCGCTAGAACCATTACAACTGAGTAGTGAGTTCGTTCCTCACTGAGTGCCCCATAGTTACGGTTTTGTGGTACATCCAATAAACAATATAATAAATAAATAATGTTTATTATAAATGCCATTTCTCAAGAACAAAGAAAATGTATAAATTCACTTTATATGTTCAGATTTTATTATAATTCAAATCATCACGTTTTAAAACAATGAACACTGCTGAGGAGTGAAGGTAGTTAAAATAATAGCCGTGTCAAGGAAAAAACTGACCTTTTGACTCTCCTTTTTTGCTTTTTTTTTTGCTTTTTTGTTTTGTTTTTTTTATTATTTATTTATTTTGGTAGGTTGCGGTCACGGAGAACCATGTTTCCCAATGTTTTCTTCGATTTCTCAACGTCGAGTTCTGGTAGAGAAATCCGTTTCTTCAGATGGAAAATCCCCCACACACACACACTTAAATTTGATTCCTGTCATTCTTTCCGCTTCAGAAAAGTCTTGGCAAAATACAGGATATCTCAATACCAGCAATTACAAAATAGGATCAAGTCAAGAGATGCCGCTACCAAAAGAATGAGAAACCATTCTTAGATTCCTAAAGTGGATATTTTGCGTGACCAATATTGAACAAGAATTGTGATCAGCAGACAAAGGTTAGAGGCAATGGTTAATGCGCCGTAAATACAGAAGATCTGTTGATAGGAATCCGTATAGTCAACCAGTACACCTGAAAATAAATTGGGAGAAATCGGTTTAAGGATTTTCGATTTGTATACAAATAAACAGATTTACGCATCAAAGAAAAAAAAAATATATATATATAGGGTACGATGGGTAAATATACTATTGTATACTATTGTATATTGTATATTTTTATTTTCGCTTATGTTTGTTCTTGTTTTTGTCGACAGCACAGTATATTAGGGTCAGTTGGGGCACAGTCTGTGAGAAAAATAGCACCGTGGCGTAATTCACTCTGCCAGAAATTTAGAAACGGCATGCTCTACTACTTGGCAGTCGCACCGGAAGCTCCAATACGAACATTTCAGGGTGTTTGAGTGTCAATCAGAGGGCAATGCAGAGGATTCAGAAAGAGTTGGATGAGTCTAATGCTGATTACGAAGGTACGACAGAGCGGAAAACTCACTTTCATTGTTCTGGTAAGAAAAGGACCCCCGAATTTGTTGGCGAGGTCCTCAACAAGGATTCCTACATCAATGCCTTGAGGAGGTAGTGCTGCCCTGAGTTCAGAGGTTGGCTGATGGAAGCCTTTATATCTGATAACAGGATACAGCACCATGCCACACAAGCAGAAGTACCCAGTCATGGCTGTCAGATAATTACTGCGACCACATCACCCCTTACATCTGGATACCTAACTCTCCAGATTGCAACCCACTTGATTACTATTTGCGTGACGCATTTGAACCATAGACCAACAAAACTCCGTGTAACACTAAAGATTAACTAAAGTCAAGGATTATAGCAGCATTCACAAACTTAAACAAGGAGACAGTCCAGAAAAGTTGCAGAAGATTCCAAAGTTGCCTGGAGGCTGTGGTTGCAGCCAGTAGCAATTTTATTGAATATTCTTTATTTTTTGCGTAATTTAGAGGACAATTTATCCATCGCAACCTGTATATAAGCAGTATTAAAAACCCAGCCGATTAGCAGTGGTCGGAAGATAACACCTAACAATCAATGTTCGTATTGTTCTATACTCACTAACGGATACAATATTGTGCCCTCCTGATCAACAAAACCAAGCAGGTGCGTTGAGAAATGCAATAAGTATCAGGAGATTTCGACTGACACACACACACACACACACACACGCACACACACACAACTGTGTGTGTGTGTGTGTGTGTGCGTGTGTGTGTGTGTGTGTGTGTTTATAAATCGTAAGTTACGCTCAATAAAACCAGGCCAGAATTTTCGAAAACATGTTCTTCCTGACCATTTGCTAGTTCGGTCCACGCAGGTTTCAGACGTGTGATATTATACATTTCTTTATGTGCCACTCCTTTCAGGACGTAGGCGATGTGACCACATTCTGGCATCCCCCCTGTGTGTGTGCGTTGTTTTTTCCTTGTCTCTCTTTCCTTCCATTCGACCGTGAGTATCAGATTCTCCTGGCCCTCCTCCTCATTATGTGTGTGTTTCAGCTTATAAATAAACCTCCTCCTTGTTCGCATCAGAAATTCAGCATTCCCATCCAACGCCTATGAATACAGACACAGGCAAAAATAAAATAAAAATTATCAGGCGAGATTTACTTTGTGCCTCTCGTTTTTATCTCGTTTTTTTTCCTGACTAAATCTCTGTATTATGAAAAAAAAAAACTTTAATGATATAATGACTTAAACTCAATAAATCTCTAGACCATTTGATTGACTATTGTTCGTCTTCCCCACTAAGACGAGTTGTGACACAAGGTTTTCACTAAGGTGTGACTCCGAGCGCGTACATCGGGGGAAGGAACCCAAATTGCCTGCAGCCCCCGCAACCGTCGGTTTGCGTTGGCCTAGGTCCGAGCACCGATCCTTCTCTCTGGTGCAATGAGAGGGCGCGGCTTCGGGCATCTGATCCCCCTCGGCTAGGCACCTCTCAGTATAATTTTCTTCAGTTGCGATTCTGTCCTTTGACGGAGTCACCCCTGAGTGCCTCCAATGACAGAGACGCAACTGAGAGATGATAAATTGACGTGTTACAAACCACTCAAGAGAGACTTTTACACACTGTGACCTTTAGCATTCCCATCAAGAGAGACTTTTACACACTGTGAGCTTTAGCATTCCCATCCAATGTCTATGAATACAGACACAGGCTGACTGCAAATGATAATATCAGACAATTCAAGTCAAATGTTTGCCACACTTATTTATACCGTATCTGACTAAGTAAAGATTACTAGATAACTCCAGTAGCACACTATTATTTCTTAAGTTATCGGTCAGTTCTAGATTCACTGTGTGCGTCTCGTTTTTTTTTTTATGACTAAATCTCTTTATTATTAAAAAAACTTGAATGATATAACTTAAACTCAATAAATCTCTAGGCTCACCGATTATTGTCTTTTCCGTTAGATTGTCCCCCACTATGATAACTCTAGTCTCACACCATTGTTTCTCGGGTCACCGGATAGTTCGATATTCACTATCACTATTTTATCGCGTCCAAAGCTTAAGAAATAGCTTCATGTCTAAATCTCTTCATTATTGAAAAAAAAAACTTGTATAATTAATCTTACCGAAGGATTTAATATGAGTCAGATTTTAGTTTCTTCTTAATATCCATGTTATTAAAGTTTCCATACAGATATACATGCCAAACTTCAATTCAAAAAGAGGAATTGTGTTTGTTATTGAACCATATCTGATATTGTATTCCTTTAAAAACTTTTGTATCAGCGCAACGTCCGATTTCCTATGTATGATACATGTTAGACTTAGTATAAAATTTGGATGATTTTTTTTCATTTTTCTATATTTCCAATTCAATTTCTATTAAATAAATTCGCCAGTTTTGTAGAATTTCTTCCTCGCACACATAGTTGAAATTCTCCTTACTCACCAACCAAATAATTTGGTTATTGCTGCCGTGGCAAGTTGTCCCACTAATTCCAGGGTACCAATTTACTATGAGTCAGATTTGAGTTTCTTGTAAATATTCATGTTATTAAATTTGTCTTGATTTGTTTCGAGCCAAAGTTTTGGCTTACAGATACCCATGACAATGACGAATGGCCCTTTGTGTATTTCACTGAAAAATTACAGATAAGCACGACCTTCAGTTTGAGATTTCGGCGTCCGACCATCTATGCATAATACCACATTTTAAACTTCATCTATCTAAGCCAATGTCCGACTAAAGATAGAGGAATGATATTTGTTATTGAACAATATCCCATAATGAGTTCCTTTGAAAACTTATAATAGCCAATGATAGACTCAGTAAAAAAAAAATGGATTATTTTTTCATCTTTTACCTTTACAATTCAATTTCCATTACATTGAAACTAAATACGACAATTTTACAGAATTTCCACTTCACACAAATAAATGAAAGAAAAGTTGAAATTCTCACTACTCACCAGCCAAATAACCAAAAACTGCCGTTCCTACTCCGTATGAAGTCTCAATAACGGACGTAGCAAAACTGTATTTCTCAATTCCCACAATTTCCAGGGTACCAATGGAATAAAGTCCTGATGGACCTCCCAGGCAAAGGGACAAGACGATAGCGAAACTTAAAAGAGCAAAGTAGGATTCAGCTTGAATGATGAGAATACACAGCGAACCAGAAAGTAAAGATAATGCGATGAAAATATAAATGAAAGGGATTTTGATCCATCGCTGAAGAAATCCAATCGAAGCCCTACAAGAAAGAATGGCCAGTGAAATTTAAAAACGCAGAAAAATAAAACACCGCAAAGACAGTTCTATGAATTCTTCCAATTTTCGTCATTATTGGCCGCTATTTTCTACAGCCTTCTTAATTTATCCTGATGGTTTGATTTGAATTATTTTCGTTATTCGATGAATCATCCGGTCTGTTATCGTCATCACTGTTGTTTTAGTCACTGTTTTAGCCAACAGACTTCCTTGCAATGCATAATTATTTTAGTTATAGAGTTCTCAATATTCGATTAATCTTTTCAGCCGATAACATCTCCTTTCCTTCTTCCAATGAAGGTCTCATCCATTAATTTTAGGTTTTTAGTTAAACACGCGAAATGTCTAATTAATAATGAAACTATGAATTTTAAAATGCGAAAAAAAATTTAACTGCTGAAAAATAACGAATCCGACAGAAGATGATTCTTTATTGAAACCTCATTTCTTTTATTTATTTATTTTTTTATTACCAGATATTGGCCGTTATGTTCTACAGCCTTCTGATTGTATCCTGATATTTTGATTATCGCTGTTCGTTTTCTATTCAATGAATCATTCATTCTATTATCTTCAACATTATTGTTGTGATTATTGTAATTAGTTTGTAATACATCTTTTTCTGGTTTGTAGAAGTTTGAGACATCCTTTCTTTTTTCTTGCCATTACAACTTTTCGGCCGATGATATCTCCAGCCTTCCTCCGGTAGATGTCTCATCGTTTTTGTTAGCAACAGGAAAGATTAAAGCTTGCATCCTATTCGGCGATGAAATTGTTTTTTAACTGAAAATTACCGAACGCCATATCAGTTTAAAAAAATGGTCATTAAAACAACAATGGTGAGGATACTTTTCCAAATATTTAAGCTATTGACGGAAAAATAAATCGATAGTATCGATTCCAAAACAGTTTTGAAAACTCAATATTTCAAGAAGAATACATTTCTGAGATTGCATTTGACCTTACCTTGGAACGAAAAAAATGACACAATAAACACTGTACAGCATGGCGGCATCCTTCAAAGACAAACCTTTCTTGTGAAAAAAAGAGGCTAATAAGCTATACATCGCATTGGATCCGGTCAATGTGAATGTCACAGCACATAGGTAAGCAACGTATATAGGAATTTTGAAGAGGGAGATATCGAAAGCTGTCTTTGATGCCGTCAGAGGAATCGGTTCACTTGACGCCTTCTTCGTTCCGGCATCGATCTTCGTTTGGTTGTTCTTTCTGTACTTGTGAGAGAGAAGAAGAAATAAGGCGAACGGAATCGTCTGCAGGTTGATACCTGCAAGCATCAACATGCTTCCTCTCCAAGTGTACTTTTCAACAAACACTGGAATCAGATTAGGATATGCAATTGAACAGACCGGTGACGCTAAGGATAATGCAGCGATTAAATACTTTCCAGCGTTTCCAAATTCAAGACCCGCAAGGATGAAAGAATTGACATAACAAAAACACGATGCAAAGCCTGAAAATACAAAAAATAAATAACTAAAAAAGCACGAAATAAAAGTAAGACGGGAAGAGGGTATAGCATTCATTTCCCATAAAGCCATTATGTTTATTATGGATTATGGAGTTGCGTTAAAACTTTCGCATTCTGACAATGAGAACCGAGTTCTAATCTCACCATGATCGATTTGTCAGGTAGGAGACTTCCTAGTGTTACGGACTGGAGGGGTCGATCCCAGCGTGTGACACCTTTGGAAATGACTGAATACCAAGGTTTGACCCAAGCCTTATGAGTGGAATTGGGTAGATGGAACCCTCGGGCGCCGTCGATAGCTGTGCTAGCACGAAGTACCAAGTCATCGTGGCCGAGGGCTTGAGCGTGCTGACCCTGTTCAAATTGTTGATCATGCTAGATAACACGCTCCCAGAAACTCTTAGGTCTGCTTAGAATAGTTGCAGTATAAACCATAGCTGGGCTCTGTCGGTGTTGAATAAACACAAATGCGCCGGAACAAGCGTCTACAATAGCGATTGGCTAGACGCCCTAGTAGACCGGTATCATTGAATACGAGTAGCCATCTATACTAGAATGAACTATCCAGGTTTGGGTGACAACCAATGTAAGAGAAGGAAAACTCATAATTTAAAACCCGTGTTTAAGTAAACGAAATGACAAACTATTCTTTAATATAAGCTTCTTCTTGAACCAGGTGAAACTAAACGATTTCAAGATAAACTTATTCGTGCACCAGGTGAAACTAAACGATTTTAATATAAACTTATTCGTGCTCCAGGTGAAACTAAATGATTTTAATATAAATTTGTTCGCGCTTCAGGTGAAACTAAACGATTTTAATACAAACTTGTTCGTGCATCTCGGGAAACTGAACGATTTTAATATAAACTTGTTCGTGCACCTGGTGAAACGAAACGATTTGAATAAAAACTTGCACCAGGTGAAACTAAACGATTTTAATATAAACTTATTCGTGCACCAGGTGAAACTAATCGATTTAAAGTTGGATCTGTTGATATTGTTCGGAATACTTTATTGGGGTTGGGCTAAAAGCAATCGACTGTTTTATTTAAACGACTGCTTCGGACTGACAATTCGTAATTATTCATTTAACCCTGACGATTAAATTATACCTAAACACATAAAGTTTCTCTATAGCATCATATATATATATATATATATATATATATATATATATATATATATATATATATATATATATATAGCATCGTTAAACTCTTTTTGTTTCTAGTTTAATGACAAACATTTGGGAACGATATCGGGAAATACAGGAAGCACTCTGCATTATTTACTTTATTCAGACGGTTATCCTTATCTTCATTTCCATATTCACAACGTTTCATCTGTTGTACGCTCCGGCCTTCTTCAGGTGATTGGAATTTATTGCCGAAATAAAAGGCTCGGTTCGAAATTCCAGTCAGCTGCAGATGGCCCATGGAGATATCAATGGCATAATTTGCCAAGGCCATCTGTAATCATAATAGAATGTCCAGAAATCATATACATTAATATTTCAGGTAGATAAAAAAAAAATAAGGAAAAGGAATATCTTACCAAGTAAAAGGCCAAGGAGAATTACCAAAGTGACGGCATTGGTACTAAAAGAAGATCCAATGACGCAAGAAATTTGTATGAAACCTCCAAGAAGAACAATATTATGTATGCCAAATCGATTGATGAGGAGGCCATCGATGACACCTGAAAGAAACCAAATTGCAAATCATTGATCACACACACACAGAGGCATATATATATATATATATATATATATATATATATATATATATATACAGCGTGTCCATATAGTTCGTGTGCACTTTAAAAAATTTTATAACTTTATTTGTATTTGCGATAGAAGTAATTTGTAAAAAGGATTAGAAAGAAGTAAATCTATATTTTTTAACGTTTTATTGAAATTTTATTTAGGTTTCCGCATGTCCTCTATCATTAGCAATACAAAGGGTAATACGATTTTGCAGTTCACGGAAAACATTTGCCAACTGATTTAGAGTAATGCCTAAAACAACATTAGTTATTTTAGCTATACTTAAAACTAGGTACATTAAACTTTATAACATTTTTCACAGATTATTTCTCTCGCAAATACAAATAAAGTTATAATGTTTTTAAAGTGCACACGATCTTTATGGACACCCTGCATATATATATATATATATATATATATATGGGGTGCGATAAAGTAACAGTATTTTCAGATGGCTTAATATTAACTATGGTTTACTCGTTCGCGAATGGTTAAATCTTAATTTCGAGTTGAGGTGAATAGAGCGGCGTGGAGCAGCTGAGCGGTCATCCCTATCACCAGACCTGGCACCACCAGACTTTCTCGTAGGAGAACTGAAGGATCTTACGCAGAGGCTCAGACCAAAAACAGTTCCTGAATTAAATCAAGCAATTTCTCATGAATAAAATTTCACAAATTAATGTAGAAATGTGTCAAATGTTGTGTAGAAATGTTGCTGATTGAGTTTAGCGTTGTACTGAACATGAAGGAGTCCTTTATGAAAATCTTAAATAGTTTTTTTTTAATCATAACAAATTATGCTTTGATGTAACAATATTTAGAAATTTTCTGAAGTTATTGGAATTTATTTTGTTCACTAAAAGTTTAAAGTTATTTTTCTGTACAAAATACACACGCACACACAAAAACACACAGCCATATTTGTGTGTGTGTCTGAGATGGAACAAATACATTGAGTCAATTGCTTCGTCCACCGCAAGGAAAGTTGGCTCCCTGTGCCGCACCAGGAAATTTTTCTCCCCGGAATCGATCCTCCAGATCTACAAATCAACAATTCGCCCTTGCATAGAGTATTGCTGCCATATATGGTCTGGAGCCCCTTCTGCTTGCCTCGGGGTCCTTGATAGGCTACAGAGGAGGATAGGCAATATAATTGGCCCTGTTCTGGCATTTCGTCTACAGTCACTTTCTCACAGACGCGCCGTCGCCTCTCTCTGTCTTTTTTACAAATACTTTCATGGTAATTGCTCCGAGGAGCTGCATTCGCTGGTTGCGAGACTTCATGAGTTCAAGCGCCTTACGAGGCTGGCATCCCTTTCACTGTCGAAACTCCTAAATGTAGCCGTCTCTTCTACTCCAATAGCTTCATATCTCGCACCTCTCGCCTGTGGAACTCCCTTCCCTATTCCAGTTTCCATGAGAGCTATAATCTCCAGATATTTAAATGTAATGTCAATCGACATCTCCAGTTGCCTTGATCTATCCACTATCCTTCTCCTCATCCTTTCTTCTATCACTCCTATCGGATCTTGATCCAAATTTTCTGTAACCCCTTGGGTCCTATCGGCTTCTCGCCTTGCCTGGGGTGAAACGCTTAATATATATATATATATATATATATATATATATAATTATTTATTCGAAAATTATAAAATAAATATATTATAAAATCACTACAAAAATAGCCATTTTGTTTCAACACATCTGGTGTCTTATCTTATCATTCAATACCATCACATGATAAGACACCAGAAGTGTTGAAACAAAATGGCTATTTTTGTAGTGATTTTATAATATATTTATGTTATAATTTTCGAATAAATAATTATATTTGCTCTACTCTGTATTGGACACTCTTTTAAGAATAATATTTGTTGGTTATTGGAATTTATTCCGTATATACCAATCCTGTACTTGTATATAGATAGATAGATAGATAGATAGATAGATAGATAGATATGAACAGAATGGGATAGATAGATAGATAGATAGATAGATAGATAGATAGATATGAACAGAATATAGATAGATAGATAGATAGATAGATAGATAGATAGATAGATAGATAGATAGATAGATAGATAGATAATTGGTGTAATAGTAAAAATGACCAAATCGTGTGGCAGCATGGGATAATTTTCCATACCACAAAATGATGCTTCATATCTAAAAATAAAAGAAATACTAAACTAATTGAATTTCTTTCTCCGGGTTTTTAGTTAAAACGTTTAGCCATCTTGACACCATTTGTCGTAACAATTACTGAAAAACCCTTTGAGAACAGGTTCAAATCGTTTTGTGTCAGCTTCACTATGTCTTCCTAAATGAGCAATTGCAAGTGGAAAAAAGATCATTAAGGCCTTCAGTAATGGTACCAACTTTCATATTCTGGCTTCCATCTTCAAAATCTATTCAGGAACCATCATGAAAAACATGAATAAGTTTTAAAAAAGAGGGAACACTAGAGAGGAAAACTGGATCAGGTCATCACAACAGCAAGAAGGATCATCATTCCAACTAAATATAGTCCTAGTGTTCAAAGGAGATTCCAGTAGTGTTATGAAAACCAATGAGAATTCCAGTAAGATATCTTTAATCATTTCTAAGATAGAACGGTTCAAATCTTAATGTAGCAATTGGGCAATTTTGACGTTACTCGATTTGGACAATTTAGCAATAATACCCGGTATTGGTGTCTTTATGAAAAAAATAAATACCCAAAAATTCTCCTTTCTCTCTGCCGGGCGTCGATGGCCAAGGATTTACAATTTCCGACAGATACCAAATCGGTCAGAAGCGATCGGATGTCTAGCCAGACTGATGAGCTCTGATACAGCGAAACAGTCTGTCTGTAGATGACTATATATATATATATATATATATGTGTGTGTGTGTGTGTGTGTGTGTGTGTGTGTGCGTGTGTTAGGTCTATCTCTGATATTGAGCGCTTTCTAATAAGTACCGCGCATATAATATATAAATAATAATATATATAATATATTACATATATATATATATATCATACACACACACACACACATACATACATATATATATATATATATATATATATATATATATATATTAGACAAAGTGGAAAATCTTTTAACTACGCGTTTCTCTTTGAATTCGCCAGGTAATAATGAAAGAGAGATAAAAAATGTATGTGTAGAAATTACCTTGGGATCCTTGAAGGTATTATTAACCATAAATAAATGGAATTAAATAACTTACCACCTCCAATATCCGTATACTGGTACGTATATATTTTGTATACTTATACATACACGTACACATATACATGCCCACACTTACATATATATCTGTTCAAACATACACACACATGTATATACACTTCATATAAGTATACATAAAAATGTTTTCTCATAAAACATATATAAATACATACAACTACTTTTTATATATATATATATATATATATATATATATATATATATATATATATATATATATATGTGAAAAGTGAATATAAATATAAATAAATATATATATATATGTATAATTATTTATATATTATATGCGGGTACTTATTAGAAAGCGCTCAATATCAGAGATAGAGTTAACATATTTGGTTGGATAGATGTAAGACCCTGGGTTTCACGCTTTAGTGATCGTCAAGAGTTTGTCTGACGATCGTCAAAGCGTGAAAACCCAGGTCACAAACTTACATCTATCCAACCAAATATATATATATATATATATATATATATATATATATATATATATATATATCCATGTAAACTTATATATGTATATATTGACATTATTTTTTATTACAATAAACGTAATTTTTAATAGTCACGTGTATTTGAATTATTGTCGTTTTTTTTTTTTTGTTTTGTTTTGTTTTTTTATTAATCTTTCTTTAGTAAGACTACTCAGTCTAGGCCGGGTGGTATTAATTTCACTGTTTAAGAAAATAAAATTTTTAAAAAGTGGACAATGACTTATGAGGCTGCTTCATAATTTTATTCTCCCAGACCTTGATATATTTCTGGACGACGAATTGGACTAAGTGTTTCTTACATGGTTTCAGGGAATGAAATTTCTTTCTTTCAGAAGAAATTTGTAGGGTACCTAAAGTGGTGGTATCCCGATGGTGCAGAGTATCTTAACCATGTTATTCCGATTTCTGTTAGCTTTGCAAAAATACGACAGTTTGTCTTTGTCTCCTCCGGGCACGTTTTCACCGATTACTGCCTTTAATTCGATGATATCACTTGTCAGCCGATATATTGTGAAAGGAAACACCTTAAAGATGTTACAGAAATTGTTTTGCGGTTATTTTCTTGACAAATGAGTCAGCTAAGTAAAAGCGGATCTCACAAGAACCATGTCGGACAACCCTGACAAATAAGGTCATCTAAGTGAAACAGACGAAAGTTGATAGGAAAAAGAAGGCTAAAGTGGTGATTATCCCATGATGTAAAGTCAATTACGGCGAAATCTGTTGAGTATCTCAAACATGTTATGACGATTTCTGTCGCCTCAAAGATACTACAGGTTTGTCTTTATCTTGACGCAAGCTGACACTCTTCTGGGCATTTTTCATCGATTAATGCCTTTAATTCGTTGTAGCGATATCAGTTGTCAGCCGATAGATTGTTAAAAGAAATATCTGAAAGATGTTACAGAAATTGCTTTAACAGTTATTGTTTTGACAAAGTAAAAGCGGATCTCACAAGAACCATGTCAAACAAGTCTGACAAATAAGGTCATCTAAGTGGAGCGGACGAAAGTTGACAGGACAAAGAAGGCAGGTTTTCTATAAGACAGTAACCGCTAGAAAACGAGGACAGAAACTCTCGACCGCCATGCGAAAAGGAAGACACGCCCGTTAGATCGTTCTCTCCCCCACTCACTTCGCCTCACTCGTCTAGAGCAGAAGTTGACAACCGAATAAAATTTGCTGACTCCTACAATTTCATTACTTTGATATGTAGCGATATCAGTTGTTAGCCGATATATTGTTAAAGGAAACATCTGAAAGAAGTTACAGAAATTGTGTTGACAGTTATTGCCTTGACAAAGGTCAGCTGAGTAAAAGCGGATCTCACAAGAACCATGTCGGACAACCCTGACAAATAAGGTCATCTAAGTGGAACGGACGAAAATTTATAGGATAAAGAAGTGTGTTTTTCGATAAGACGGTGACCACTAGATGAGGAGGAGAGAAACTTAGATCGTTAGATCGCCAAACTTCGCCTCACTTCTGACTCGCTCGTCTAGAGCAGAGGTTAACAACCAAATAAAATTGATTGATTTAGCTGAAGAAGGTCGTAACACACAATGCCTTTCCTCTCCCTTTAGGTAAAGATTTTCATCTTTTTTGGGTGTTTGAATGTGTCCTGTGTCGTGTGAATGGGATTAATTTTTAATCAGCCTTTCGATTTGGTTCTCATCAATGATTGCAGACCCGCAGGAATGTTCGATAATTCCAGATTGAAATTTACACTTCTGAACCGAGAAAACCCACTCACTTCTCAGCGACTGCACCATGCCCATAAACGGCACATATATTTTTTGTTGTTTGTACATTATTTCTTTTCTTTCTGGAAATAAAAGGACATTGAATGGCGAAAATGTATCTCATTTTCTTCCTTTCTCAATTTTAAATGCACACACACACACACACATATATATATATATATATATATATATATATATATATATATATATATATATATATATATATATATACGCACGCACACATACATATATATATATATATATATACATACATACAACCTTTTTCAACGAAATACTTAACAGGTTTAATTTCTTCCAGATTATCAACAACACACTAATGTTTCACCAAATGATCAGAGTATGTGAAATACAGCATTATCACTGTGCACTGAATTCGATCCCTGATGAAGGCCCCATAATCGTAGAACTCTGTCAGATTAATTAAGCCTAGAAAATATCTATTACCAACATCGGGTTTCGATTTTTGTTCACGTCTACGATCATCCTTGATTTGAATATTTCTGCTACATCTATTCTGGTACTCCTGTTATTTATTTAGAGGTTCTTAAGAAAATTCAAAGAAGAATCAGCAATATTACTGGTCCTGACCTGGCATCCCGGCTTTAGTCACTTTCCAGTCGCTATAATGTAGCTTTCCTTGTGTCTTTTCTATAAATATTTTCATGGTAACTGTTCTGATGAACTCTTTACTATAGTAGCTAGACTTCATGAATTTAAGCCTATATTGACTGCAAGGTCTCGTCAATTCACAATTGAATTGGCTAAATGCAACAGTTCTATGCAAATAATTTCTTTTTTCACCCACTTCTCGCTTGTAGGACTCTCTTCTGTCTCCATGTTTCCAGCCAACTTTGATCTTCAAAAATTTAAATGCAATGTCAATCGTTATCTACTGCCTTCCTGATTATTCTTCTAATGTCGTCGCCCCTTAGTAATACTTCCATTTTTTTTTCATATTCTTTTACTCAGTAACCCATTGAGTTTTAGTGGCTTTACTGCCTTGCATGGAGTGAAATTATTTTTAAAAAAAGCTGTGTTGCCGACCATTCCAAACTTCACAATAAACATTAGATAAAAGTAAAGAGAAGAGATTTCTCAAAAACTTACCGGCACCGCTCATTAAACCACTCATCAAATTTGGAAAGAACAATATGAGTGATTTTGATTTCTGAAATTCTTTCTGCCATTCAACTGTCAGCACGGACAATGAAAGCGGATATCCGTAGGTTATAAAAGTAATGAAATATATCGAAAGGGCTTTCAGGTAATCTCTCTTAGACAATCTGGATGCGCCAGTCTTTTCCGAAACATCAGCTGATCTCATATTCTCTGATGAATTTGGGCTTTGGGAATAAAAAAAAGGAATCAAAAAAACAAGTAATCACAAGATTTTCACTTTTATTTAATTTTATTCTCTCTAGCTTTATCTTTCTCTTTCTCTGTATATAAGTGAACATTGAAGTCAACACCCAGCGGTGAAAGTCTGTTTCATGCTTAAACGCAATCGATATGTGCGTTGTGTTTTTGCTCGACTATTTATATATACTGTCAGTGATACATTATGGGTTGGTCAGTTGTATTATTTGAACAATTATTTGAATGGGAGATAACAGTTCCC